TGAAGGGAAGACATTGAAGGCAGATAGGTCAATGTGTTGGGGCAGAGCCCTGATGGAATCCAAACCACCATCATTCCTCCACCTGCAATTAATCAAACTCCTTCTAATCTAAGACCACACTAATGAAAAATTAAAGGAGTGGACTGGAACCAGATAGGTTTGTGGTGGAGAGACACAAACTTGTGGCCTCCATTAATAGACATAAAAATAGTAAGCGGAGGAGATAAGGATGCAAACCGATGGTTCTGAATCGCAGCCGCAAAAGCCGCAGGAGCAGAGTCAACTGCAGCGGCAGCCGCCACAGCCACAGCCACAGCCGCAGTGGATGGCGATGCAGTATCCTCCGGTGGCGGCGGCGATGATAATGCAGCACCAGATGATACCACCTCAGCACTTCGTCCCGCCGCCACCTCACCACTACATGCCGTACCCGCAGTACCAGCATCATCCCCGCCCCCACGTACAGCATCCTCAGCATCAGCAGCAGCAGCAGCAATCTCAGGGATCTATTGGCGAGAATAGGACAATTTGGGTTGGCGACTTGCATCACTGGATGGATGAGAGTTATCTCCATAGTTGCTTTGCTTCCACTGGAGAGGTCTAGGAAACCTACTTTTTATTTTTATATATAAGTGTATATGTATTTGCTTAGATGCTAAAGATACCATTTTGTATTTAGCTAGTTCTTGATTGGGGATTATGTTTACTTTGAGATAATTTTGTTTTTCCTGGATTTGTTTCTAGTGTTGGTGTTTGTTGAAGGTTCTAATTGGTTCTTTTTTTCTTTTGGAGAAATTTGCAATAAAAATAGAGAGAATAAATAAATAAACTGTTTTGCTGTTGTTTAGTTGGTAAATAGGACTGAATTTATTCTTCAATGGCTATGCAAATGTCAAATTGGTAGGATGAGTAAAGGAGAGCTTATTGAATTGTGAATGACTGCAATTCATTATCATAATTGTAGCTTTTCAGCACTGTCTGTCAATTCAAGACTGTTGAAATTTAAGCAAATGAAATGCTATGTTGTTTTTTATTCTTGAAAGAATATTTCTTTCTGTGGCCCACGTGGTACAGATGTATGTGCTTGCATATTTTTCAATATTGTCTATCAAAAATAGAATAAATAGATAGACTATTTCCTCTTGGCCAGGCATCTGTCAGGCTCTAGGACTAATGCTTGTTTGAACACTGTGGTCATATTGCGATGAGTTGCAACTGGTGATTCTGATGGAACTGGTTCCTCATCCTCTGAAAAACTGTTTCTTTCTGATCAATCTATTCAGTTACAAACTTACAATACCCCTATTCCCTAATGTGCAAATGTGATACATTTTGCAGATTGCATCCATTAAGGTTATTCGCAATAAGCAGACTGGTTTGTCAGAAGGTTATGGCTTTGTGGAGTTTTTTACACATGCAACTGCTGAAAAGGTTTTGGAAAACTATAGTGGCATTTTGATGCCTAATACAGAACAACCCTTTCGCCTGAATTGGGCAAGTTTTAGCACAGCTGAAAAGCGTTCAGAAAATGGTCCCGATCTTTCTATCTTTGTTGGAGATTTAGCTGCAGATGTTACCGATAGTTTGTTGCACGAAACTTTTGCTAGTAAATATCCTTCTGTTAAAGCAGCAAAAGTTGTAATTGATGCCAATACTGGTCGATCAAAAGGCTATGGTTTTGTGAGGTTTGGAGATGACAATGAGAGGACACAGGCCATGACGGAAATGAATGGTGTATTCTGTTTAAGCAGGCCTATGCGCATTGGTGCTGCAACACCTAGGAAGTCAACTGGATATCAACAACACTATTCCTCACAAGGTACTTGGTTATTCTTTTACAATGCTTCTGTTTACCGATACTCCCAATTTGTTATCATTTGTTTAAGGACTTGTGATCATTTGTTTAAGGATCGGTAGCTAAGATGTATACTTACCCATCTTTCTTCTTGTACACTTTTTTCCCCTAAACAAAGGTTTATTCTTCAGAATATTCAACCCCTGCCTCTCTGTCCTGGACACCCTTTTTCTCATCTTGAGGATCCTTTGAAGTTGCCCATG